CTTGTTTCCTGCTGAACATCAAAGATTAGAATCAGACTCTTATTGTGAAACTCCTGCTTCAAACTTCTTCTTGTTTCCTGCTGAACATCAAAGATTAGAATCAGACTCTTATTGTGAAACTCCTGCTTCAAATATCTTCTTGTTTCCTGCTGAACATAAAAGATTAGAATCAGACTCTTATTGTGAAACTCCTTCAAACTTCTTCTTGTTTCCTGCTGAACATAAAAGATTAGAATCAGACTCTTATTGTGAAACTCCTTCAAACTTCTTCTTGTTTCCTGCTGAACATAAAAGATTAGAATCAGACTCTTATTGTGAAACTCCTTCAAACTTCTTCTTGTTTCCTGCTGAACATAAAAGATTAGAATCAGACTCTTATTGTGAAACTCCTGCTTCAAACTTCTTCTTGTTTCCTGCTGATCATCAAAGATTAGAATCAGACTCTTATTGTGAAACTCCTGCTTCTAACTTCTTCTTGTTTCCTGCTGAACATAAAAGATTAGAATCAGACTCTTATTGTGAAACTCCTGCTTCAAACTTCTTCTTGTTTCCTGCTGAACATCAAAGATTAGAATCAGACTCTTATTGTGTAACTCCTGCTTCAAACTTCTTCTTGTTTCCTGCTGAACATCAAAGATTAGAATCAGACTCTTATTGTGAAGAGGCATGAGGAGTACAGAGGCTTGACTTCCTGTTTGAGGTGAACCCTAACCATGAGTGCTGTAATTATGGAGCTGATCGCAGTTCTGGTCTCAGGGTCTGTGCAGCAGTAAAAGAGCTGTGGAAGTGCAGAAAATTAAAGTTCCTAATCACTTATGGAGAAGTGAATAAAAAGTACTGGTTCAACCAAAGATGCAACAGAAGAAAGTGGCAGTTGTAGAAACAAACAGATCTGTTTGTCAGGGATGTAATAAGATCAAAGATGACACTCATGAGAAAACATTACTTTATTTTATTTATGGTWGAGGTTGTTAACTGCACTGCCCAAACAGATAGGAAAACTGAAAAAAAATCCAAAATAACTGTAAAATCAGCTCAAAAATATCTTGATATTAAGAACACAAGTAGGGATTTGATTAAGGAGAAACTTAACGAGACTCAGTCTCCTCCACCTAAAGCATGTGGTGGAGTTCCTTCTTCTTCTTGTTAGTTTTATTCCAGAGGAAGGCAAGAAGTCTCGTTGAATTTAAGAAATRCATTTCAGATTTAGTAGTCAAGCCTCATCTTCTTTGTGTAGTGTTCACCCCACACTTCTTATAATGAGGTTATAAGGAATTATTTTAGCAAGGATCACTTTATTTTCTGTAATATCTTCATACAAAAATGAATGGACAAAACATACAATAAGATGAGCGTACTCAGTGAATTTAAGTTGGTCTAAAATAAACAGATCATTTATTCATTTACAGAACCAAATAAATCACTAATGTACAGATTATTGTGAAATTAATTTCCTATAAAAAGTTTTACAACAAACTCAGGTTTAGATGTTAATAAAGCATTTGTTTGTGGCACTTTTTCTTAAGTTTAGGCAGGGCAGGTTTAAGAGGAAAGGAAGATGGAGGAAGAGGATTAGTTAGTTTTAACTTTATCCTTTAAATAATGTGGATTTTAACCAGAAAGTCAGACGTCTCTCAATGAATTCAGCCGAACTTCAGGTACACTCAGTAACGACAGCGGTTACCTTGACCGGGTTAGTTTCAGCACCACGGCTCAAGACGGAGGAAAGATCGTCCAACTGGTGAAGAACTTCGTGGAACTTCTACCAGTCGAACATTTCGAGGTGTTTTACGTTACTCCTTCAGCGTCTTCTTCTGGGCTGCTGCTAATCGAAGATCAGAGACGAGGCACTTTCAGCATCCGTCTCAAAAATAGAAAACTTCGGCTCAGAAGTTTCAAAACAAAAGTTCCTCTGTGAGTAACTTTGGTATGAGCTCAAAATAGACAAGACCGAGAGGTGGTCTGGTCTGGACTGGTTCTCCTCGGAGCCAGCCGCGCTCTCCGTGAAGCATCAGAGCATGTTTTCCAGCTCAACTTCACACACTTAACTGTTAGTTAGCGATGTTAGTTTAAAGGGTTAATATCATGTAAAATCAAGTTTTTTGAGTTTTATATCATGTTATAATGTTATACTCTCATAAAAACATGTCTAAAGCCTTGATCTGACTCATTCATCATGTCTGAGAAATCCTGCAGTGTTTTTA